GGAGCCGCCAGTGCACTCCAGTCTGGGCGACAGAGTGAGACGCCAACTCAAAAAAAAAAGATGATATTTTAATAAATCTACAGTTGTGCAACCGTCCCCACAGTCTAAATTGTGAACACCCTCATCATCCCTCAAAGACTGTTCATGCTAATTTACAGTCACTAGCCGTTGCCACTCTTAGCCCCAGGCAGCCACTCAGCCGCTACCTATCTCTATAGATCTGCCATTTTTGGACATTTGATATAAATGGAACTGCACAGTATTGAGTCTTTGCATCTGGCTTCCTTCACTTTGCGCAATGTTTTTGATGTTGGCCCATGTCATCGTGTGTATCCACACCTCATTCCTATCCCTTGCTAAGTAGCATTCCATTGCAGGGACAATCCAATTCTTTTAAATCCATGCAACAATTGATAGGTGTTTAGATTGTGTTCACTTTGGGGCTGTGATGAATAATGCTGCTACAAACAGTCATAAGTCTTGGTGTGCACATAGCCTTTTGTTTTTCTTAGGTATATTGTTACAAGTGAAATTGATGAGTCATATGGTAACTTCAGGTTTGATTTTTTTTGAAAGAAAGTGCCCTACTGTTTTCCAAAATGGCTACATTGTTTTCTGCCCTCCCCTCCAGGGGATGAGGGTTGTTTTGGAAGCATTTGCAGTAACACTGGAAGGTGCTCTTCTTAGCCTATAGGAGAGCTGTCCAAAATGGGCAAATAACAACAATTCACAAAGAAAAACAAGTGAAGGGAAACACAGCAAAGGCTTAGTGGAGATGGTCTTGAATGGAGGAATGAGTCTCCTCTTCCTTCAGCTTTTCTCGCTTCTGGTTTCAGGTCAATGTGTCCTCTGAGCAGCATTCTCCTCTGTCCCCTCCTGGGAGACACCCACCCTCAGCCCCACTGACCAGATTTTAAGGCCTCGAGGGCTGGGAAGAAGCTGCCCTCAGTGACTTGTCCCAGGAGAGCTGGCTGGGCTCCCTGCTGGGTTGAACCAGTGCTTGCCCTCTCCCAAGAGCCCCTGGCGAACATGTCTTGCTGACCCTGCACCCCATTAGTAGCTGGACCACAGCCATGGGAGTGTTTACACCACAGCAACTGGTCAGCGCTGTACAAATCAAGGCTTTTATGCAGAAACTGGCCATGCAACACGTACCACCACATCACAGACAGAGAACCCCACACTTCTACAAGGCCTTGCCAGATTATCTCAAGATTCAAAGATCCAAGAAGGGACGTTTCAGCTCCGATGAGATCACATGCCCGAGTGGAGACCTCAGAAACATTTCCAAGTGCAGACAGCCATGGGTTTGCCTTAAGAAAAATTCTCTCATGGTGTGGGCTCTCTTACAAACCTGTTTTGTGTTGCTATGAAGGAATGCCTGAGGCTGGGTGATTTGCACAGAAAGAGGCTGATTTGGCTGACAATTCTGCAGGCTATACAAGAAGCAAGGTGCCAGCATCTGCTTCCGGTAAGGGCTTTGAGAATCTTCCAGTCATGGTGGAAGGGAGAGGGAGCAAAAGAGAGAGGGAGGAAGGGAGAGAGGGAGGTGCTAGGCTCTTTTTAACAAGAAGCTCCCCACTATTCTCAACAGCAAAATCAAGGAACCAACCTAAGCGCCCACTCACAATTGACTGGACAAAGAAAATGTGTTATATATACACCATGGAATACCACACAGCCACAAAAAGAATGAAACCACATCCTTTTCAGCAACAGGGATGGCTGGAGATCACCATCCTAAAAAAACGGACTCAGAAACAGAAAACCAAACACCACTGCATGTTCTCACTCATCTGTGGGAGCTAGATGGTCCCAAAGATGGAAACAATAGACCCTGGGGGAGGGGGAAAGGGTGCTTAAGGTTCAGAAACCACCTACAGGGGCCCAGTGCTCACTCTCCGGGGACTGGGCCGCTTGAGACCCAATCCCCAGGATATGTCCACAGGATATGTCCGTGCAACAAACATGCACGCACGTGTACCCCGAATCTAAAATAAAAATGATGGGAAAACCCCACCAACAAGCTCTCCTGTGAACTACCAAAGTCAGAGCTCACTCAGGACCTGGAGGGCACTGAGCCATTCATGGGGGATCCGCCCCCATGACACAAACCCCTCCCACCAGGCCCACCTCCAACACTGGGGTCACATTTCAGCAGGACAAACATCCAAGCCATGTCAGCGCTACTGTGTGCAAAGGCACAGGAAGCTGGGGACAGACATGGGCACCGTCTCTGGGGACAAGGGCTGAGGGGATGGCGGGGACAAAAGGTGTCCTCCCACCGCCCCCTCAGGATACTGTGGAGAGACCCAAAAAATGACTCACTCAAGGCCTCCATGTCTGAGGAGCAAAGTCCAGGTTATGAATAGTCCTGATGTGAGGTGGCTGTTGGACCCCATCCAGCCTAGGCTCAGCCTTATCTCAGTGGCTGCTTCCAAGAATCATCCTCCGTTTTGAGGATCCGGGGGCAATCCTGGTTGTCGGTCTGGGCTGTCCTCAGCCTGGGCTGCCAGCCAGCCCAGCCGGCCTCAGCACAACGGGGCAATGAGAAAGAGCTCATGTGGAGCCTCTCTCCCTAGGTCCTGCCCCTCAGGGGCCCTGGCCAGCCCCACTGACCCAGGGCCAGCCACCAGTCCCTCCAGGGAGACTTTGTCAAGCCTTAATTTAAGCAAGTGTTCTTATCACCACATTCCCCTCCAGGCGGCCTAAAACATACACCTGCCTCGTCAGCTGCTGTTTTAAGCCCATGAGGAGGTCCTAGATGCTCCAAATTCACAGTATGAAGTCTCAAGTCTCCCCCTGGGAGAAATAGGCTGGTGAAAGGAAAGGCAACCCCCTAAGCCAGGGATGGCTTGAGATAGTTCCCACCTCACCCTGCAATGTCCAGTCCCAACACAGTGGCCAGACATCCAGTGATCTCACCCTTCTCCTAGAATCAACACCCAAGCCTTTATAGCAGCTTGTAAGGACCCTCACAACCACCTGTCCTAATACCTTTCCCCTGCCATCCTCTACATCAGTTGCATGACCACCTGGATACACCCCCAAAGCATTCTCACCTCAAGGCCTTGGCACATGCTGTTCCCACTGTCTCAGACTCACAGCTCACACCTTCACCTCCTTCAAGTCTTTGCTTGGAGTCAGCCTCCCAGCAAGCCTGCCTTCACCCCCATTTATTTATTTGTTTGTTTGTTATTTAAGGTGGGAAAGTAGGATTTATTGAGAGAACAGGATTTATTGAGCTCCCAGTGTGGGAGGTGATCCGAGGGGAGGTTGCCCCCCTATTTAAATTTCAGCATAGCCCCTAATCTCATCCCACTCTCCTCCAGAATGTGGC